GTTTGCTTCTTTTTGTTATAGTCTTTTACCGTAGGATTTACGGTCATTTTTTACAGTGTAGAGTTAATAAAATCCTTATTAACACTAATGATACTACCGGTAATATATACTAACAAAAACTAGAACTAGAAGGGACACATTTCTTTAATGATAGCTTATGACGGCACATAAGACAAAAATATATATACATAAAATACATAAGATGAATAGAAGAGAGGTGAAACCAGAAACTTAACACAATGATTGCCAGGGTGTTGCTATGTTATTGCTGTGGTGTTCTGTGTCGATTATAGCATACTTGCTCCAAACAAAAGAGCCCACCTTTAAGTCTCTGATATTCTGGTTCCTAGATATGACTTGGGTCAATCCTTTAAAGTAAGCCTATGGGTATTTTTTTCACTCTTTTATCATCAACCAGGCACAAATTCTAAGTTAGAATGCTTCAAATCATAATAGCACACTTCTCCTCAACACAAAGCACTTGGGATATTACTCATGACTGTAGAACAAACAGCGTAGGATGAGTTACATGCTGATCTAATGTATATTATAATTGTTACTCTTAGGTATGAGTAACAGTGATGCTTGTCTTAGCAAGCACCACTACTGAAACAGATGAAACCGAAACTTCGAAAGCCTCCATTAGATTAAAGATTAAGGATTTAACCAAATAGACTTTCAAAAAGAGTGAAACAGCGTTAAAATTGATCCTAAAAGCAAACAGGATTTTATTTATTGTGTTTTATTCATGATTGCTTTTTATTAGAAAGTCAATTAGATTAGTGAGCCAAGAGCAAATGGAACAAGTTAACCGTTTAGTATCTTGTGTAATGTTCTTGAGAGGATGCTGATAGGATTTTTTATTTATTTTTAATAAGAATAAGTAGTAGAAAGTCAATGTTCAGACCATGTGCACAAATTGTGCATAAAATAAAGTTATCCTGCTCTCTGCTGGCCTTACATAGAATAACACTTGACATCAATAGAGCAAAGCAAGTGATAAAATTAATAATCTGTTCCTTGCTTGGATAACCAAAACTCAATGTCTCACTGTTGGTGCAGATGAGAGAGTGTCTAATTGATGAACCTTCTCAGCTAGCAGGAAGTCCAGTAGATTCCCTGATGACAGCACCCAGCCGAATGCCAAGAGCAGATCTCGGCTCCCCACCTCTTCTATGTGACTGGGGGGCCGGGACCCCACCACCCAAGGGGCCCCATAGCCAAAGTGACACAGAGCACTCCTCACAAACAGCAGCTGCACATCTGCAAGCACAGCACTGTGGGTTATACAAACGATAATGCATTACACATGGACTGCAGTTATGTGCAATGATCAATTTACCAAAATCTTGGTCTTTAGAGTCGCGGCACGCACAATCCAGAGCAAAAGCTCTCTGCAGAAGCCTACTTAACAAACTCCACATGTCCACTGCCTGAAAGCAAAACATATATTGAGCACACAAAGTAGAAATAATCTAGTTAATGATGACTTATCTATCAAATTCTTCTAAATCAAATTAGAGAAGGAGAGAGGGAGGGAGAAGTGGTACCATGATAGTACTAAGGTAACGTTACAATGATCATCTTACCGCATCTTTTCTGTTGAATTTAGCTCTCCTGAATGCCTCAGCTGTCGGAATTGACTCGACGCTTAATGCAGATAGTAACTTACAGAGAGAAGTAATAACTTCTTTCACTTTAACACTCTTTTCGCGCGACATTTTACAAGTAAGTTAGTATGTTTACACCGTCAATGGTCGTTAGGTAACAGACACTTCCTAGTTGAGTGTCATTCACGCCGTTTTGATTAGTTGTTGTTTTGGCGAGCTACATGATTGACGTAAATCCTGACCAATAGGAATTATAGACAGCCCACCTCGATACGTCATACTGCCTGAACTTGATTTTACTCTTTTTTGATCTATTTTATTTTATTTTTTGATCTATTTTTTTAATTTAATTTCATTTATGTTGTATTTTTCTCTCTGAGCTTCGTTTTCAGCCTTATATTTCTGGCTCGCCAGACTTGCCTCAACATCACGAAGGCCTGATTTGATTTTCTAATCCGTGCAGCAATGTCCTCTTCTGTGCCACCTGTCATACTCACAACACTGCCCAGGTAGGTGAACTCTCGTACTCTCTCGACCTCCTGCTCTTCGATCTGGATAGGTGGCGCATTCGCTCCATACCTTACTCTTATTTCTTTTGTTTTGGGGACGTTGATTTTCAGACCTACTTTCTTTCCTTCTCTGGTCAGGGCCAGTGCCTTCAGTCTCATATCTTGAATCCTCTGCGACAGCAATGCAATGTCATCTGCAAAATCGAGGTCTTCTAACTTGTGGGTGAATGTCCATTGGATTCCTGTTCGCCTTTCGTTTCCGTAAGCTTGTCTTGTAGTCCAATCTAGTAAAACGAGAAACAATAAGGGAGATAAAAGACAGCCTTGTTTTACCCCAGATAGTAACTTACAGAGAGAAGTAATAACTTCTTTCACTTTAACACTCTTTTCGCGCGACATTTTACAAGTAAGTTAGTATGTTTACACCGTCAATGGTCGTTAGGTAACAGACACTTCCTAGTTGAGTGTCATTCACGCCGTTTTGATTAGTTGTTGTTTTGGCGAGCTACATGATTGACGTAAATCCTGACCAATAGGAATTATAGACAGCCCACCTCGATACGTCATACTGCCTGAACTTGATTTTACTCTTGATTTATTTTGCATATTTTATTTTTTGATCTATTTTTTTAATTTAATTTCATTTATGTTGTATTTTTCTCTCCATGGAGTTGTTGTTATATATTTAAAATGAAGAAATACATTCACAAATCTCATATTTTGTCAATATGTAACGTTTATGATAACCGAGTAGTGAACTGAAAAATGAAAATGTAATAATAATTATGACCGGTCATTCACTGCAGGGGGGTAAAGTCAGATTAATAAGTAATTAATCCAGTAATTAAAGAAAGGAAGTTTGTGTAGTTTCACTTTGTAAAGAACTTTACTGCCCCCTGCTGTTTACGACTCGTCGATCACCCCAAATGAAGACACATTTCGTTTACACTTTACAACATTTGTTAACATTAGTTAGCATGAACTAACACAATTTGTTAATCTTAGCTCATTTTAATTTCAACATCAACTAATAAATTTTTTAAGATTAAAAGTTGTATCCGTTAACATTAACCAACGCACTTTGAACTAACAGGAACATGTACACATTACACTACATTAACAAAGTTAGTTAGTCCTCTTCGCCTCTAGCGAGACATAGGGCCTCAACGACCGTCCTCCATCTGACCCTGTTGGGGGTCGTTCTCTTGGCTTCCGCCCATGTCAGGTTTTTATTTCACAGTTCTTCTGTCACTGTCCGCCTCCACGTTCTCCTCGGACGGCCTTTTCTTCTGTGACCCTGAGGATTCCAGTCGAGAGCTTTTCTGATAATGCTCTCTGCGTCCTTTCTCAGGGTGTGTCCAATCCATCCCCATTTCCTTCTTCTGATGTCTTTCCATATTGGTGCTTGCTGCGTCCTTCTCCACAGGTCTTCGTTCGAGATCACTCGCGGCCACCAGATTCCCAGAATATACCGAAGCTTCCTGTTGACCGATGCTTGGATTTTGTTCTCTAGGGATCTGGTCATCCGCCAGGTTTCGTTGATGTCGAGTTCTTCTTGGTTTTGTTCAACCTGTAATTCTTCGATTGGAGGCTCTCCGTTGAGGACTTCCTTGAAGTGTTCTCTCTATCTCGACAACTGCTCCTCTTGCGTACTTAATATTTTGCCTTCTTTGCTTCGCACTGGTTTGTTTGGATTGTTTTTCTTTCCGCTTAGTTTTCTTGTAGTGTCATATAGTTTCTTGATGTCATTTCTCTTTACTGCATCTTCCGCTTCGTCTGCCCACACTTCAATATATTTCTTCTTGTCTGATCTGCATTTCCGCTTCACGTCTCTCACTTTCTCATTATAGTGCGCCATAGCTCTCTGTTTCTGCAGTCTCGTCTTTGCTTTGCTGACTTCTTTCGCTGTTCTTCTTTCTTCAGTTGTTCTCCAGGTTTCTTCTGTAATCCATTGTTTCCGATGTCTTTGTATTTTGCCAATAACAATAACATTAACAAAGGTTGGGCCTAAACAAATTACCAGAGTTTCGATTAATAAAGAGTAATTTTTGCACAATTACTTGAAGAATATTATGCTATGACTTCAAAACAATTTTAATATGCTGGGAGATTTGAAAATTGAGGCTTTTGAACGTTAGCACCGCACATCCATCTTCATATCAATGGGTTTTTATCAACGGTAGGTTTGTTCGGTAGCTCACGGAGTACGGAGACGTATTTGAGAGGCGAGGAGCTCCGGTTCGAATCCAGTGTAACTACGGTTTGACAAAACGGTTCAAATCTGCATGTAAGTAAGTTCAAATTCTGATGTCTTTCCATATTGGTGCTTGCTGCGTCCTTCTCCACAGGTCTTCGTTCGAGATCACTCGCGGCCACCAGATTCCCAGAATATACCGAAGCTTCCTGTTGACCGATGCTTGGATTTTGTTCTCTAGGGATCTGGTCATCCGCCAGGTTTCCGAGCCGTACAGGAGGATGGATTTCACATTTGTGTTGAAAATCCTGAGCTTCATTTTCAGCCTTATATTTCTGGCTCGCCAGACTTGCCTCAAAATCACGAAGGCCTGATTTGATTTTCTAATCCGTGCAGCAATGTCCTCTTCTGTGCCACCTGTCATACTCACAACACTGCCCAGGTAGGTGAACTCTCGTACTCTCTCGACCTCCTGCTCTTCGATCTGGATAGGTGGCGCATTCGCTCCATACCTTACTCTCGGTTCGACAAAACGGTTCAAATCTGCATATAAGTAAGTTCAAATGACACGGTTGCATCAACAAATGTGTTTTTATATATTTTTTTGTTTTGCATTTGTTTTGCATTTGTTTTGCAAAACAAATTTTGCATTTGTTAACACTATCGGGTAGGTTTAGGGTTGGGTTTGGTGTAGGGCATATTTCCAACACGATAGAGCATTAACTTTTAGCGACAGTCCCCGGATATTTGAATTCTGAATCGCCGCAATACGTACCTGAAGAAACGTAATAAAAACACAGCAATACGTACCTATATCAACGTAATAAAAACGTGCCAGGGTTCACGTATTGAACCCGTGTTTTAGCGCCACTAGCATTCACGTATTGAACCGCCGCAATATGTACCTGAAGCAACGTAATAAAAACACAGCAATACGTACCTATATCAACGTAATAAAAACGTGCCAGGGTTCACGTATTGAACCCGTGTTTTAGCGCCACTCAGTGGACATTTCTCTTTGAAACTGCGGCGAAACGTGCAGTAAGGTACGTAAAAACGGTGTTGCAGAAAAGTACCCAGAGGTACGTATTTTTATGAGACTGGGTTGGTAAAAATATTGGTCATTCTTAGTCCATGTTAGTTCATGCATTAACTAATGTTAACAAATGAGACCTTATTGTAAAGTGTTACCACAAATTCAAAGCAATGGTAATAATAATAATAATGAATGACAACATAACTTGAGCAGAGGACAAAATAGTTTATTTTTTCTTCTGAAACACGGTAAACAAAAACATGTAGAGGGATCAAAAACAATAAAACATGCTTAAAATTATAAATATAAAATTTAAATCACACGTACAAAATTGTTAACAGAAAACTAATTCAGACGACTTTTTAAGTACAGTATTAGTTATGGTGCCTATATTTGGCCACAGTACACTTAAGTTACTTTATGGAGACATGCTACAAAGTGTTAAAATGCTCTTATTGTGCAACATGTTTTAAGTAACACTTTTTTTTACAGTGTAAGTAATGAGTATCATCCAATCTGTCCTTCTGCACGACCCTTACATTATGATTGTACTGTATATCACCGCTTGCGCTAAGGCTAACAAAACTCATCAAGTGTGTGCTTTTCAAATCTATTCAAATAGTGTTAAAGCTCAAGAAAATGGATTTAGCTTTTTAGCTTCATTCCATATAAATAAACCTAATTTAAAAAATGCAAATATTGCACAGACTTCTAATAGTTAAAATGCTGGTGTTTGAACAATAAAAGTGCACCAACTTCAGAATATTTAAAGAAATTGCATAGCTCTCCCCTTCACCTTCATCCTCTTCTCGTTTGATAACGGGGTTTCCTAAAAATGAAAGTTACGAGGAATCATCAAAGGTAATTTTTGCAACCATGGTCTCATAAACATACAAATGTTTTTTCATGTTTAACTAATTGTTAAACATGATTGTTATTGGAAAAATATGCTACTTACCATCTAGCTTTTTAAGCTTGGGAAGCCTCTTAGTAGCTTCCTCTATCCAGTTGCCATCTGCAGAATACTTTTCTTCTAATGGGTTCCCCACAAAGACGATGTCTGCCAATGCTGGAAGATCTGCCAGCTTCTGAAACTCCCCTAAAGGAACAAACAGCCTCATAAAATGCTCATTCTTGATGTACCATGATTAAGCTGCTACTGGTCTCTCAGTAACCTATCTTCCATGCTCACCCCACTCCTTGACCAAGTTGTTAGACATGTACAAGACTTTGAGTTTCTTCATGACGTGAATTCCCTTCAGTTTTTCTATGAGGTTATAAGAGATCCACAGCTCCTCCAGAGTATCACCTACTGCCTCCTGTGGGGGACAGAAGAGGAGTAAGAGGGAAGCGGATGTCCACTTCTTTACATTATCATTAATGTTCTGCTTCTTTACTTACAAGTCCATTAAAGTTTTTGATGTTATTCCTCCCCAAGGACAATATCTTAAAGGTCACATATTTTACACCTTTCTGGAGTTTTATTTTAGGTTTTGATGTTCTTAAGAATATATATTTGCAGTATAAGTACCAAAAACCCTCTCAATATATTTTTACAGCTGCTCTCTCAGGAGCTCTGCTGAGAACAGGTCGATTTTGGCCTGTCTAATTAATATTCATGAGCCTCTCTTCTGATTGGCCTGTTGTTTTCTGAGTGACGCACGGCCAGGCCAACCACAGGTAACTAGGGTCAGCCGACGTCACAGCGCTAGCTGGAGGCAGCAAACTTGATTTTTTTCCCCAAACCAGTTGGGCGCAAACCACGCCCCCAACGCGAAAACCCCACCCCGCAGCCATGACTCATGTCTCTGGTTCGATTTCATTGGTCAACTATATCACAGCGCTGATTGGCTACACCGCGTTGACACAAACGAACTCATTTTAATATAATATCCAAAACACAAAAGAGACACGACACAAGTGTAAGAAATGAAAACGTTGTACACACAATTTACAACTTAAATAAAAGGGTGTATAAAATGAATAAAAATAGTGCATAAAACTATGCATAAAACTACATAACATAGGCTGCTATAAAACATGCACACAGAGTAGCTTAACACTGAGAAAACGACACTTATGTATTGTACAGAACAAAAACCGGCAAACGCAATAAAAAGATTTTAAAAATATATATATATATATATATATATATTACC